TACACGTGGTTGGGAGTGTACGCCCCTTTTTTTCATAATCTCGGCTACCGATGCATAGTACTACTCTATTCCAGTTCTGCAGCGACATAGAACGTGGGAATAGAAAGTTATAGATGGGTGAATATGTAATGAGCTCAGCGTACTCTGACCGCGAGCTGCGACTGCGTGCGCGAAAATAAAATTGTACGCGTACTATGGGACTTCCGGTTATTTGGTTTAGTTTACCCTCTACCCCCCAGTTCATGGATGGCTTCCCGTCAGTAGGGGAACCCAATAATTACTTGACCACCAGATAGCTACTCACGCTTTTACTCTGCGGTGCTCATCCTTGGGCAGATACAGTAATAAGACGCAGTTTGTGTTTCAATTCCCTGTTAAAAAAAATAGCTATATACCGCCAGATGCGCCTCCCATGCTACGATAGTTTTTCACTTGATAGAAGTTGTTAGTCTTCCTTCTTCTTGTTTAGATGTGATTACGCGGAAATATCATAATTACAACTGATTTGAAAGTAACCACTACCTGACATTTCCTACAACTATATAGGACTTTGACGGCCGAGTATTAGCCGCTTCATGTTTTTGTTAGAAAAACGGCCACCCTGTAGCTCGCTCTTACATGTCCATACAATTTTCACCATCATCAAAGTTATTCAAACACATCTATAGATAGCTAGCTACATACAAATCCACACTTCAAGATTCTAAAACATGTTCAACTAGCTACATACAAATCCACACTTCAAGATTCTAAAAAATGTTTAACTAGCTACATACAAATCCACACTTCAAGATTCTAAAAAATGTTCAACTACAACTGTTATCTAGTGTGGTCCATTTGTTCCAATAGCGCCTGTTGGTGCGCATTCACGATGATGTTCTTGGACGACAGATGCGACGTCGCACCCAGCGATATCTACGGCACTTACGTCGTACATTCACAAAGCGATATACGTAGTACGGTTTTCTTACTGTACGATATTTGACGTAACGACGTCGAACCTTTACCGTGCGATATGCGTAGTACGGTTTTCGTACTGTGCGATATTTGACGTAACGACGTCGAACCTTTACCAAGCCCTTTGCGTAGTACGGTTTTCGTACTATGCGATATTTGACATAACGACGTCGAACCTTTACCGTGCGATATGCGTAGTACGGTTTTCGTACTGTACGATATTTGACGTAACGACGTCGAACCTTTACCGTGCGATATGCGTAGTACGGTTTTCGTACTGTGCGATATTTGACGTAACGACGTCGAACCTTTACCAAGCCCTTTGCGTAGTACGGTATTCGTACTATGCGATATTTGACGCAACGACGTCGAACCTTTACCCAGCGATATGCGTAGTAAGGCTTTCGTACCCTGCGCCAATAACAGTACCGACGTCGACGTCCGCAGCCGGCCATGTGTACAGAAGCAGCGTCTGCATCTTTCAGCTCGGACGAAACGGCCGGCTCTTCGTCTTCCTGTTGCACGAGCGCGTTATCATCACCATCTTCGTCCTGCATGTACTGAGCATCTTCCTGCGGCAGGGAATCCAGATAGGCGTCGTCGCCGTCGTCTTGCGCCAGAAAGGCGTCGTCATCCTGCAGCAGGGAATCCAGATAGGCGTCGTCGCCGTCGTCTTGCGCTAGAAACGCATCGTCATCCTGCGGCAGGGATTCCAGATAGGCGTCGTCGTCTCCATCGTCTTGCGCCAGAAAGGCGTCGTCATCCTGCGGCAAAGATTCTAGAAAGGCGTTATCTTCGGACTCGACATTCTCCTGTGGTTTCCACTCGAATAAGGCATCGTCCGGCTCGTCCTGCTGTTGAAAGGCATCGTAATCGTTCTGCGGCAGTGATTCTATAGAGGCATCGTGGTCCGGAGATATAAATTCAGCTCCATAGGCGCTATAGACCACCGCGATGCAGGCGACCGCGAGGCACAGCGCAACTTTCATCATGAGCACGAGAGCCCACTGCCCGTTGCTTCTTTCCTGGAATGCACTGCGAAAAAAGAGCGTCACGTGGCCCTTTATGCTATCGCACAATCGGCTTTGTAAGATATTTCCTTGGTATGGTTTCCCAGACGAACTATCAGAAACTGCGGTGGTCCTTTATAGCTAGCTAGCGCTATCCGCTTGCGTCTAATGCTCCGATAACACGCGACGCTTGTGTTTTCGATTCCTACAGGCTTTTCTAAATTATCACCAGATGCATGTTTCCTTGTTGTTATAGTCTTCCTTCATGTTGACACATGGAAATTATTAAAGCATCCAATGCCGAATGATTTCTGCTTATCTGTAGTTGTGGTGTTGGTTACACAAGATTATGAAAGTAACCACTACCAGATGGCTCCGTTCATTATAGCAGCTGCTTTTATTGCATGTGTTAGCTACCAGAGCACCAGAAGGAACTTCAACCCTCTCTCTACACAACCATCAATGTACTAGCTAGCATTGAAAGAGCACTTCACTATACTCGTTACATAACTCTGATTGAAATTTATTACAGAGAAATTTACTAAACCCTTTATGGAGACAATTGCCTGTTTAGGAGATGGACATGTGCTTTAGTCTCGTTCCCAGACCCTGCACGTATATACATGCTCCCGCGCGCGCGAAGGTCTGGGCATCACGAAACTACACTGCGCACGCGCGTACACGTAGGGCAGAGGCGGCTAGAGGCTAGGCGCTAGGCCGCCGGCACCACGCACCTACTCCACTCTCGTGCGCATGGGGGGCGTGGAAAAATGGCGAAGACGACTATCTAGAACTGTGTTGTATAAACGACGATAGTTCGATACAACACGCTCCAGCGAGTAACGAAATCAAGAGCCAATCTTTATGCTCACCCGTGGACGAGTTTTCACCACTCTTCTCTCTCCACTCTGCGTGTTAACGTGTCTCACTCCTTCGCCGTTCTCACAGAAGACGACTCTTACAGCCATGGCCTGGCGCTCCCACGGCCAGTCTAACGATGATTTAGTCGACAACCTGAAGGCGAACGGGATCGTCACTTCTGCTCGCGTGGAAGCCGCCATGAAAGCCGTGGATCGCGGTAATTTCTGCGCCTACAATCCCTACATGGACTCGCCTCAAAGTATCGGGCACCAGGCGACCATCAGCGCCCCGCACATGCACGCATACGCCCTCGAACTGCTCCGCGACCATCTCCCCGAAGGTGGAACGGTGTTGGACGTCGGCTCGGGCAGTGGCTACCTCACGGCTTGCTTCGCGCACATGGTCGGTCCGACCGGTTGCGCGGTGGGCATAGAACACATTCCAAACCTCACCAAACTCTCCGTTGAGAATTTGAATAAGAGTAGCCCAGAACTTTTGAAAGAAGAGAGGGTGCTTTTGGTGACAGGAGATGGAAGATTGGGCTACCCGCAAAAGGCGCCCTATGATTGTATTCATGTCGGAGCAGCCGCTGGGTCCGTCCCAAGTGCCCTCCACGACCAGCTGAAACCTGGAGGACGGCTCGTCGTGCCTGTGGGACCCGAGCATGGTGTGCAATATTTGGAACAGCACGACAAGGCACAGGACGGGAGCGTGAAAATCCAGCGGCTAATGGGAGTTCGTTATGTACCACTGTGCGACAAGGAGCACCAGCTGAATTAGACTGCTTATAAAGCTAGTGGTAGCAATTTTTGTAGCAATATTAATTTTTGAGTGTTTTGTAGTCTAGCTCTAGCTCTGACTGAGCGCGCGCATGCGTATAGTTTTTCTTACTGCGCATGTGCATAATGTAACCTTTTGCACCTGTACAAATGGCCGCTGGTTGTCCGCCTTCTTTGTCGCTGTTGTTTTTTCTCCTTCTAGTGACTCCTTCAAGCAATACAGCAAAGGATCATGTGAACCACACAGATAAGCAAACGTGGAAAAATTCGTCGCCGGACAGCTCACGTGAGCTCCAAAAAGATTCTTTGTCGATCCTCTTCATTTCAAGCTTCTTTTCCGGACATATTATTCCACTTCTGGCCGTCGGAGAAGAGCTTGTGATACGGGGGCACAGCGTGTCGTTTCTAACGACAGAGGTGTCCGGATCAAGACTGGTTCCGGACGTCCTGAAAGATATTGGGCTGCAGTTCATCAGCGCAGGCCCGGACCCGCGCACCAGGGTACAATACGAGGAAGCGATATACGGACTAATGGGAAAGCACCTTCTGGAACAAGTACAGGAGATAGCGACTTTTGCAAGAGATCACACTGTAAAACTTAGAATTGCTTGCGATCGGCTCAATTTTTCTCGTTGGGATATAGTCGTAGTGGATTCCCTTCTCTTCAACTTGATTCGCTACATCGACCTGAAGTGGGGGTCGAATGTTGTGCTCAGCACGGCCGTTGCTGCAGACTATGCTAGTATCGAATCACCCTGGCCCTCTCCTTCCACAAATGTCGTCGGCTGCTCGGAAAATTTGTCTTTCTACCGACGACTTTTGAATGCTGTCTTTTTCAAAAATCCGCTAGTGTCTTTTTGGAGAATGCGGTCGATGAAAGAATACACAGCTGGAAATGATGGCGCAATGTTGGATGTCGTTAGTAGCGATCCTCTTTTTCATCATTACCCCGACGAATTCCACCCTTCGTTGGTTTACTCCGCAGTTGGGGTGGAGTATGCACGACCGACTTACCCCGGCGTCCACATGGTCGGGCCGGTCCTACGGAGTAGAATTACTCCACTTCACCCCAATTTAGTCGAGTGGATTTCCACAAACGCACGTAGTGAAATAGTGTACATCAGCATGGGGACAACTGCACTAGTAACTGAAAAAATGGCGCGAAGTTTTGTCAGCGGTGTACTAACTACAAACTATGGCGTCATTTGGAGTCTTAGGGAATCTAATCAGGTAGTATTAGAAGGACTCGAAATAGATCCAAAACGCTTCTACGTCTCAAGCTGGGTGTCCCAAGTATCAGTTCTCCGGCAAGAATCGGTAAAGGTGGCAATCTTACACTGTGGTACTGGAGGCGTCCACGAGGCCCTTTACTTTGGAATTCCCGTGGTTTGCATCCCGTTCTGGTTCGACCAGTTCTCGTGGGCCAACATAATTCGTGATCAGGGGCTGGGCCTCGTTTTGTATGCCGAAGACATTTCACCCGAGAATGTCGCTAAAACACTCGTAGAAATTGAAAAGAACATCTGGTAATAGTAAGCCTTCTTGGTTCAAAAGGGCTTCTCCAACATGCACAGTTGTCATGCTCATAGCCCTGCTCATCGCATCCTCTGCCGTTTTAATATCCTCCGATTTGATCATTGTGCACTTGGTTTCTACTTTAGATCACTGTCAGTACTCAAATTCTGAGTGTGTTTCAATATAATGTAAATGGGACTTGTAGCATGAAAAACATACTGTACTCGGTCATTTTTACCCAGTGTTCCCTCATAACCTGTTTTTTTCTGCCAGGTACAATCTAATGCTTGTTGGATCTGGGCAAGATCGAGAATTTCGTTGTAGACCTGTACCACAAGTTGGGCAGTGGGTTTGAGTTGGCTTGTGTGCATTATACACCATATGGTAATGATGTTTGCAGAGGGAAGGGGCAGTGTCTAACTGTGACGGAACGCTCTCTCCTGCTAGTTCAAGGCACAGAACAATGTCGGACATGGGGATATTGCATTTGCTGAAAGATTTGTTTCTGCACATTCACTATAATAATCCTCTCCTTTTCCCACCTAGGACAATGACATGGATCTTTCCTAAGACGGGTAATGTCATTACGACAGGGACGACAAACCAAGCTCTGCTCAGTGGTGCCCAGTGTTAGGGCCAATTCCCGACAAAATTCATCCCTCCATGACATAGGCGATGATAGATTTGTGTGCACTTGATCGCATAAACTGCATACTGTAGCAGTAGGCTGGCTTACTGGTGGTGTAGTAAACGCCAGCCGTCTTCTACTTGAGCCTCTAGCTTCAGTCATCCACTGTCATCTGTGTATCTTTTTTATTACTGTCATGAACTCTTTTCAATGATCATTTGGCTTACCCAATCACTGTTATATTGCTCCTAAGCTGTAGATCCCACGTCTGCCTCAATGGTTTCCGCTGTTTTTGCAGGTGGTAATTGATACACGTGGTTTGTGGTCAAAAAAGAAAATTCATATCTTTTAGACGGAGCTCGGGAACAAGCTCTTTTTTTCCAGAAAGACCAGCTACGTCCACCTGAAAAATATTCACGGAGCCAGACGCCTCAGAAAAAATGTTTACGCAGGTTATGCAGAGGCTGTCGATTTTTAGTTGGTCCGCTTTTCCGGTGCGATGCCTA